TTTTTTTTTTTTTTTTACAAAATGAGATTTAAGACAAATTATAAATTAAATGTGTCCTTTTATTATTGCTTGGACAAAATGCTGCACATTTCTTTGTGAAATTGAAATATAACACTATAATAATATTCTAATATAGCACTTGTATATTCTTGCTCTTTTGTTGGTTTTGATTGCTTCTATTGTCCTCATTTGTTAGTCGCTTTGGATAAAAGCGTTTGCTAAATAACAAAATTTAAATTTAATGTAAATGTAAATAACAAAACTAAATTGAAATTTTAAAACAAGCCCCAAATCAAATAAATAACACAAATAAAATAAATGTCTTCATATAAACAAACTAAGGCTTTGTCTGTGCTCTTTCCTTTTAAAATTAGAGGCAACCACTGCATTTTAATCATGATCCAAACAAAGATGCTGCAACATGAACAGTTTTTAATCTAAATTAGGTTGTATAATTTCGAAATTTGAAGCAAAAACAGAATGGTTTGACTTCAGTTTTGTGAAACTACACATAAAAAATATCTGCATGAAACAAACAGCAGAGGAGCTGAATGAGACGCAGATTCACTCTCTGCCAGCAGGTGGCGCTTAAAGCGTTTCCTTGGTTTCCGCTGTAAACAAAGCGCTACACTTATGAACATTAATAGGCATTATACAGAGTCAAGAGGAAAAGAAAAAAATATTATCGAAAGACAGCAAGTTCCCCTCAGACACACATTCATATAAACTCCTACCCCTAATTGAATCGCGATTTGTTTAGCATCTCAACCGATTTGAATCGTCACATATTTTAATCGATTTTCAACCGGCTCGCGGTTAATCGTTACATCCCTAGTCTTAATGAATTCTACAAATATTTTAGGTGAATATTTACAACTACAAAAGATGACAAATGAAGTTGCTTCAGATCCACATCACAGGAATCACCTTTATGGAAAACTTGAAAAATGCTTCAAACCAGAATTAGGAAAAAGAAATATAGTGATTTTATATGAACAATCTCAACATCTGAATGACTGCATGACAAATGGGTGTCAACATGAAAATAAAAAAGGATATTCAGAAACGGAGGCATCCAATGGGAATCAAACTGTTGCTTTTTAAGTTACTCACAATTACAAAAATAAATTACAAAAAGTGAGTGTATTCTAGGGCTGGGTTTTCAAATTCAAATTTCACGATTCGATTCTCATTCACAAGCATGCGATTCGATTCAATATTGATTATTTTGGATATATATCAGGTACAGTACATGCCAAATTTTCAAGGGAAAAAAAATCTCTCAACAAATGCTGTAAAATATACATGACAGTCAGTTGGTACTACATTACTATAATATTGACGGTTAAAATGGACTGATTTGTTAAAATTACACTTAATGAAGTTTTTAAAATAATAGTTACAATTACATAATATTTCTTCAATTCGTTTTTTGAAATATAGGCCTAAACAATGGTGGCTGTCATAAAAACTTGATGGATTTATTCAAACATAAATTAAACATTGTAGAACAATAAATATTTATAGTGAATATATTATATGGTGCATATATTTAGCAAAATGACCCTCTCTGCAGTTAATTTTTCTATCTGACTAATGAGTTTATGGTCACGAATATGTTTTTTTCTGAGGTAAATGCGTTTACAAGCCATTATATTGACGTCTTTGCGAGGCTGAAACACTTATTGAGCGATTACATGAGATGGGATACGGATTGTAAAGTTGTACTCTTTCTTTTAACTTACATTTCATTACACCAAATACACCAAATAATGTTCTTTTTAGCAACATCATATGACCCCTTTAATGTGGAGGAGATAATTAGTTCACGTGCCGCGTCTGTTGAACTGAGGCGCTTCAGCGATCTGTCACTCCACATTAAACAGCGCCAAAACAGCATTTGCTGTTTTAATACTGCAATACAATGGAAAGAATTTGAAATCTGAGACTTTGTTTCATATTAAAAGTACCAAAGCACAACGCGTATTGCGATATATTGGATGGGAAGTCGTCCATTAACTGAAAACAGGCTAGACCAATCGATTCTTGGGATTTAAGAATCGATATCGTTCCGTAAAAATGAGAATCGATTAATATCGAGATATCAATATTTTTTTACCCAGCCCTAGTGTATTCAATTCAAAATTGTCAAGCAAACAATGCAGATCACACATAACCCATTCAGAAGGATTTCCAACATGTAAATGCCTATAGATTACAAGTAATGTGTTAGAAAATATAACATTAAATTAAAAATTAACACTGAATATAATAAATACGACAAATGTATATCAACTTGAACTGAATATGAATTCAAGGGAACCAACTCGTTTGGACAAAAAGCAGGATATTTGCCTGGCTTTCACAACTATAAAATCAATATTTGCAGTGCAGCACACATTTTGCTTTCGTTTTAAATTAATAAACCTTATAAATTCGCATTAACTAAACACCACATGCTATCGTGAGCGTTATGTGCATTTTAATACAGAAATCTCTACAGATAAAACATCAGCAGAAGTCCAGAGCACTGAATAGCACGAGTTAAAAACAAAAACGCTTTTCATTTGTGAACGATTACGTCACAACGCACTCGAAATACTATTCGATAGGCGATTATTTCACAATTAATTTCACGTAAAATGATAGACGTGCAGCTTTAGTGCACTAGACGCATGAAGAGCATTTATTCCCAAAATGCATCAACTTTTGCATCGGAATATTTACCAGGGCTCGTTTTTAAAACAAATCGCCGTGTTTACAGCGGAACGGTGCATTTCCTCGCCGTTTCAGCGGGTTAAAGCAACGGCATGCTGATATGAGTGCGGAGAGGGAAGCCGGAGAGAGACTGCGGACGCCATCTTGTTCTTGGGCCCCACATTGAAGAATTCATTGATTCCGTTTATTTATTCATGAACGGTGTTCCTTTATCTAAATGCCAGCGAAGAGAAAGGCAAACTCGATCGGTAGGGGAAAAAAGGAGGGGGCGCAACATATTTATCCCATAGCCTATATTTCCCCGACCAATCCCTTAATAGTGACCTCAATACTGAGCTGCTCGCCCGTTCTTAAAATATTCCAACAGCGATAATAAAGGCCATCAGGCTCCATTCATTCCGCGTATCTGAAGAGCCGCAGCGCTTTTTGCTGCATTACTGTGATAAATGTTGGCCGGGTCGCAGGAGAAAACACATTTAACACGGCTTTACCGTCAGCAAAAGCAGTTTAGGGAGGATCGTAGTGGAGCATCACTGAGATGTCGGGAAGGGAGGCAGTGTACCTTTGTACTTGACCAGCAAGGCCTTTTAAAAAGAGACTTAGGAATAGTTAAGGGAATCCAATTAGGTTGTTTTAAAGTCTAGTTAAAAGCAGCAGTGCACACTTAATGCAATAAAGACAAACACACGCCAAGTCGCTTAAATGCACACTGGGATTCATGTTAAGCCATTTGGACTCACATAATAAATCCATTTGCACGCAAGTTAAACATATAAATAAAACACGCACACACACTAGAATTGCTGGTAATATTCAGCCAGATGGTGCAGATTGTAATACACGATCGGGTGAAGAAAGAAATGACTAATCTTTATTTACCGACTGCAATTCGATCAATATTCACATCCAGTACACGGCAATGTCTCGACCAGCCCTTGGCGAGCAAAAAAACTCGATTCTGTAACACAGAGGAAGGCCTAGCTGGGTTGAAAAGCCGAATATTTTGCCAGCAGAAGCTCCAGTAATTAGCCAGTTAGCTTACAGATCAGCCTCTCAACCAAAACCCTTACCACCCTTGCCCAAAATCAACCTTTGATGCTTTTAAAATACCCCTAAGCACCACATGACCGATTTCTCACAATCCTCGATCGGTTTAATTTCTGAGGTAACGTTAACGTTAACGCCGTTTTTAGATGCTAGCAAGCGGACTCACGCAAAACGACTCCATTCACGCTATAATAACGAATTGAGCGATTAAATGCACTAAAATCCATATTAGAACAGCATAAACGTAAATAACGGTTTAAAATGGCTGTTTTTGGTCAATTTGCCTGGCATTGTTGTCTATGTAAATCGGTCGGCTAGCCGCTACCTGCGCCTCACCCCACCCCCCTTCTTTCTCTATGGTGACCAGCATTTTATCCAACAAATTCGTCCGTTTTAAACGAAACAACCAGTTCCACACACTTGAAATAAGCATATAGTGTCCCATACCTGTTCTCAGTCGTAAATGGCCTTTGTTTATATGGCATTGACCGAAAAAAACGATAGTGTGGCTGTCAAATCCACGCATCAACGAACAAGACGAGCTAGCTCGCTAACTAGCAGCGGGAGAAGTACCGAGTCCACTTCCACAGCGACAAAACTCGCTCCAGCGGGCGGGAAATGAGCCTGTTTGAGGGGGGATCTCAACTGCGATGAAAAACTGCAGTCATAAATGTCCGGTTGCAGACTTTGGTTAACGAATAAGTCCGTCGGTGGCCACTTCCCGTTGCCTTCCTTGAAGGAGCACTTCTCTCCAGTTTAGTTCACCTCTCATCCGGCCATCAGACGGAGATGGGCGCGGTAACCCTGCAGTCTGCCGTGGGAAACCCCACGCCGCAGCGAGCGAGAAGAGCGGCGCTCTTACGCAGGAATGGAATTGACAGAAACATTTCCAAGCCAATTTAGCAACATTAGTACACACAGCTGCACAGCGTCTTCCTAAGGTTATTACATCGAATGTTTGTCATTATACAACAGATATACCACTATAACGTAAACTTATAAATTACACTTGAGCAAAGACTTGTAAGGAAGAAGACTGTGGCTAGATGTCACACTTTTTTACTCCAGAAAATATTTTTCTGTGAGTTTATCTACATTTATAGGCACACAACTTAAAGACATGAATATAAAAGGCAATTGAACATTTCCACCCTTATTAAAAAAAAAAGTTATTTAACAGATGTTGGCCTTTTGTGACAACATGCCTCAATAGCCATACAATTTCTTATACTATGGGAGCCTGCCATTAAAAAGGTTTAAATCTACCTTGATTATATAGTTGACTCTCTGAATGTATTCAAGTAGGGTTTTGAACGATGTGTTTGAAACCAGTATTTAACATGTGACAACTAGCCCCATTCTCCTCATATAACAACAAAAACAACAACAAAAGAGAAAACCAAATTGAAACTAAACTTCTAATAGTGGAGGAAAAGCTTTAATTTTGTTTGAAGGCTGTTGAAATGATGTTTTTCAGTGCAATAAAGTGATGCTCCTAATGGGAGGTATAGTAGTGCCATGGTACATTTTAGTACTTGTTAGTGTTAAACATGATAGTAACATGTCCAGTGAGTCATGCAGTACGTTGGTATTCATTTGTTAGTTTGTTGACCATCGCTGACCAAGGTTTTTGCATTGTATTTCAAGGCACTTCAAAGAATACCTTGGTATTATGTTCCCAAAACAAATAATACCAGGGCATTTTAACACCTCTTTTAGTGTTGAAATTAGGAATTACGGGAACTTCAAGCAATTATGTTATGCTTTTAAGAAGTATTTTCACCAACCTTATAGTGACAATGAGAGGAGCTTTGGTAAAATTATACAGAACTTCTTTTTAGTTCACTAGATTTCGGGCCCTGAGTCATTAATGTTTCACAGTGACTTGGCGTCATGAATATCTACAACATGAAACAAATGTTCTGCTTCCCTTTTCAGCTGACACTACAACACTTATTTTTCATCCTTCCTCTCAAACCACCTGTCATATAGAGATGATTAAATGTCCAGTTGATTTCCAATGGATAAAAACAAGTCCCTTCCTTTATTTTTAGTTTCCTGGTGTACTCAGAAATATGTCACAATATGGATGTAAAATGATTGCTAATGACATTGCATGTCAACTTTAATGTGCTCAAAGAGTTATTTGACATATATTTTGCAGTTGACAGCTGGAATTCACCAGATAATATCCTGTTTGGTGAAAAATGTTGTTTTTACCTTCATACTATTCATACCATCTGACTGAACATTTAGCACAATAAAGTCCATTTTAGACTTAATGGTAAGGTGAATTAAGAGAGAAAAGAAAAGAAAATAATGTCACGATGCAAAGAAATTGTGCTAAATAGTTTTCCTTTTCTTTATAAAAACAACATATAATTTCTTATTTTGAATATTATATACTTATTTGTAAGTCGCTTTGGATAAAAGCGTCTGCTAAATGACTAAAAGTAAAAGTAAAGTAAAAGAATATGACCTATATTAAATCTCACAAAACCTGTCAAGAACATGTCGAAGTCATGTCATTATGTGATTTTCATATTCATTACCATGATAATACCATCAGTATTTATTGTATGTTACTATTTAAAGCTGCAAAGTTTTGCCTCTTTGTCACCATCTCTGTTTGAAAACCTGAAATTGCAGCTGTGTGCGAAATTATCTTCCTTGCGTGGGTTGTGTGGCGGCGCGGCTCCAGCGCTGATGAATCTAATGTTTTGAAGAGTATTTGTGGCAGTCCGTCACCGCACTGGTGTGGATATTGTACTTCTTTATGTTTACAGAAGTGACGTAATGACGCAGCGGCATGCTGGAATTTCCCGCGAAATCCTACCCGTACCACTCAAATTAGAAAACAGAATCGGGCTAAAGTAAGGCGATAGTTTCGAACACTGGCTGGTTATGTACTTGCTCAAATATTGATTTCGGATCATTTTTAACCAAAAAAAGTTACGGATTGTAGCTTTAATATCCATTATACTGTATGTTACATAGTCTAAAGTTTATAATATTTTAGATTATAATTTTATGTATTTTGTCTGAAAAGACACTTAAGGAATGTGCAGTCAGATCACATGTAGGACTTTTTTTTTTATCTCTGAAGATAATTGCTTACATTTATTATCTTGTAACTAAGGATTATATTTACTCTGTATCCCCTCCTCTTAGCATGTTAGACAGTTAATTTGAGAGCAGTTTGGCCTGTGTTTCATAGACAAATAAGAGGATTAGAGTGGATCAGCACTAATGCATTGTCACCGCTAGGAGGCAGCGTTGGACAGGAAGATATTTTGAATAGCATATGGACGACGCCATCTGCAGATTGTGTACTACAATGAATACATGACAGTGGCATTTTAATAATTGTTACAAAACATTAGGCAACGGATGTGCTTTAGTCTTGAGCCCATTTCTAGAATTACATCATTCATAATCCATCCATCGTTTGGATTAATTTTAGTCAAGAATTAATTTTAATCAAGGATTAGTTGTCCCACATACAGCGGCTAGCACTTGGCATCAACACATATGTTGGATAAAAGGCACTTTAATAATACTGATGTTTAATAGTCATAATAAAATGTTGTTTTGACAGGTAAAGGCACCTTTAAAAGTGAAAGTTTCCAGGGTTTGATGGCTCTGTACCATGAAAGAGGCTAAAAACTCAGGATGCAGAATGCAGGGCCTTGTTTGATGAGGAGGTAAAGGCTACACTGAAACAAACACCCTCAAAACTTTGATATCAAACACAGTAATAATTTGCATTTGAGGTTTTTTATTTTATTTATTTATTTAATTTTTTTGGATTAACAAAATAGTCCTTAGTTAAGTATTGCTAAGGAAAACAAGCAGATGTACTAATAATAATTATTTAATAAATAATATTACCTAATTTAATTTTAGTATGCCTATAATGAACAAGCAAACAAATTATAAATTTGTAAAAAAAAAAAAAAAAAACGAATTTTAAAAATTATTACAAAAATATTATTTAATTCTCTTTTAAAAATTTGGTGTTATAAATATTTTACATACAGTTATTATCAGTAATAGGCTTATTAATACAATGTGATAATTTTTTCCTTCACTGATCCGTTTTCTGACATTAGATATTTTATTAATTTCAATGATATTATAATTATATAAATGAATTAAATACATATATCATTATATGCCATGTACATGTCATAAACTTAATTAAAAATGTAGGCTAATTGTAGTTTGCATAAAGAAAATTATGCCAGGACCATTAAGATTTTTTCATTGTGAAATTTTCATGTCAATTACAGCATTATATATATGATCTTCTGTTAAGATAATATGCAAAAAATAATAAACAATTACACACACATAAAATTGTATTTGTATATATAAAGAGAGAAAGAATTAGGAGGTTTCTGGTGAATTTAAAAAAGAAAACTGAAGTGACCCCGGCATGTTCCTGACACATTAATTAATAATTAAATTAAGACCAAAATTAAACTACAAAATGCTTTTCCATATATGTTTGAGACCCTGACCATCACCCATTACACATCTCACCTTAGTTCACATAATGCACATGTGAGGCAGCAAGGGGTTAAAATCCCTGAACTCTCTTCCCTGGACACATTCACAGCATCTGGCCTGTCCAACTATTAAATCCTGTCCTCATCTCTGCTAAGACAGACGGACAGCCAGACGAGCCAATCACAGCCTACAGCTGCCCCACAGCCATCCAATAGCAGTCCAGGAAAGTAGGAGGGACATTACTGGATCACATAGCTTGGGTTTGTAGCATCCTTGTAGCTCTTCTCGTTTTGCCTTTGAATAAAATGCTATGAAAGGAAACCAGAAAACAGCTGAAAAGGAAGAAACGAGACGTGATTTTGTACGGAGGGAGAAAATGTGGTGATAGTAGGGGGAAAAACCTTTCAATTTACAGCCTCTCAGCTGCTCTGTTCTAGCTGAGGAACGGAGGAGGGGTGAAAGGAGAAATTTCCTCTCCTTTTTTCCATCGGCTGCCTGGAAAACCTTGGAAGGACATCAGCCGTGGCCACATCTCTCCATGAATAGGTCAGTATCTCTCATATCAGCAGCCTCTGACAAGAGACAAACAGTTTCTCATTGATCAGACTTCAGCTTATTTACACTCATTTTACACGTATTAAATGCTCGGTACAATTCAGTTCATGTGGGAAAACAGTTTTATAACTGATAAGGCACAGGAGCATGTTATTTTGGTGTCTATGTTGGCATGTCTATCTTTGTCTTGTGATGGCCTGTGATTGGTCGAAGAGGCAGGCTTAAGAGACCCCGGAGCATTCTGATTGGCCGAGGGACTAACATGTTCTTCATTAAGTCTGCAGACTGTTTGTGAAACACACAGTGAGTGTGTTCACCCTAAATGATTATGTAAGAAGAATTAACACCCCTCAAATACACAGATTACTGGGATTGGCTGCAGATATTTCTGTCTCCTGTGTTTGAATGTCCTTTGACAGGGAAAAAGATCAGTAAGGAAGACAAGGACCTGTAGGAGTTTTGACGGCTGTTGTTGACTATTTCAGTGCGTATAAACAAACAAAATCACATTTACAGTACTGCACTTGCAATGGAAGCCTACAGAGCAATTCACTGCACCAGGATCGATTTAAAACAAACCGCTTTGAAAGTACAGCTCCATAATTATGTCCCCACTGGATGCAACAAATGCCTCGTTTATAATGGGTTTTCTAGTTTTTGAATCGTTGCTCCGGCCTGACAGGGCATCATCACAATATGGTAGGGGCATAACATTTCCGTCACACGCTTGAGGTATTCGGCCAATCACAACGCACTGGATAGCTGGCCAATCAGAGCACACCTTGCTTTTTCAGACCAATGAGCTTTGTAAAAATCGACGTGTTTCAGAAAGGCGGGGCATAGAGGAGAAAAAATAATGTACAGTATGTGGAAAATAATGTGTTTTTTTAACCTTAAACCGCATAAACACATTTCATTACACCAAATACACAAAATAATGTTCTTTTTAGCAGCATCATATGACCCCTTTAAACATTAAATGTGTTAGCATATTAAAATAAATTGCTTGCCTGTGTAAAGTTATATCTTGTATAAGACCCCAAAGTTATATATGACTCCTGTAATGACAATGAAAAGAGGACAATTTGTATAATATGTGTAAGGATAGAAAGGGATGTGGCATCCGAAAAATAGGCAGTGTTTCATAAAGCAAACTTCATCCAGGATTTGATGCATAATAGATTCTTTAGATTTTACAACTCAAATAACACACATTTTGCATGGAAGAATTATTGAAAGTGCTTTAAAGAAAATGGTAGCTGCACATTTCTGCTTTTAAACACTCTAGTTTTGTAGATGCATTACTGGAAAGACAGTTTTTGCTTGTTTTTACATACTGAGGGATGATCTGAAATTATTGTTTGTGGTCGGTGCATCAAGTTTAAGTCCTAAAATTACTAAAACTGAAATAAATATTAAAGCTGAATAGAATACGTATATATATATAAAACTTGAGATTAACATTTAAACTGAAAATATAGAATAAAAGCTAATTCAAAATATTCATAAAAACTGTATAAATAATACTAAAATGACATTGGTTTTAGCTGGTTGCTATGGTATTTATGGGTAGTTGCTACTGGTTAAAATTATAAGAGTCCAAGACTGATATTCTGGTCTATGTATCCAGTCTTTCCTTCAATTTGAGTCTGTGGGATTTTTTTGGCCATCAAAAAATTCTGAAAAAACGGATCACTGAGTGAAGTAACAACATGAGTTACACACTTCATTTGAATTCTTAGTGTTCAGGGTTTGTTCAAAACCTTGTATTTAGTTTGAGCAATAGTACTGCAAGCATAACTAATATTTACCTGATCATCTAAAATCTGCAAGTGGGTGAATATATCAGAAAACAGAGTCAGCGTGTCAGCCGCAGGTGGCCTGTTGTTTGAAAGGGAGAGAATGAGAGAGAGAAACAGCGAGGGAAAGCAAGAACACATCTGTGTGCATCTCTTACGAAACGTACCTCTTTCAACGTGAGCTGTTTCTGGGTACTTGCTTTCCTAGGTACAGTATCAGACTGGTGCTGTCTCTCTTTCTCTCTCTCTGTGCCACTCTTGTACCCACATCCTGCCACGACACCCACTGCTGCCCGGCTGCTGCAGGGAGGGAGAAAACTACATAACGGCAACAAAAATGCGCACTCTCTCTCTCTCTCTCTCACACACACACACACACACACACACTTACACTTACTTTCAGGAGAACTATGGGTGAATCTCATATAAATATGTCCAGTTTAAATTTCACTTCAAATTAAAAACAGTAAAAAAGATATTATACATATAAAATATACTAGGTCCTTTAAAATGACAATTCTGCCATCATTTACTTGCCTTAATGTATTTCCAAACCTGTATGATTTTCCTTCTTCTGCAGAACACAAAAAAAGATATTTTGGGTGAATTATCCCTTTAAGATCTTTTTCATTGTGACAGTTTCATCATGATAATTATGTACATTTTCATCCCAATTTTTCTTTATTCTGATTTTTTAAAAATGCCAATTATTCTCAAAGGTAAGTCTCATTAGTATGAAATCAGCTAAATTAAAGGCAGAACAACAAATACCATCATGTATAAATATTTTTCAATTTAAAGTACAAGTAATTTATTTCTTTTCTTTTTACATTACAGTAGGGAGAGTGAGATTTTTTGCATGACATGAAATTTGAGAAGAAAATGTGTTTAGTTGTTATTAAAATAATATCAAAATGGTATTAAAAAGACGTTTGGTTTTGGGGTGAAATATTACCCTAATATAATGCACATTCAGACATACACACTTCCATACATACTGTACACATACAGTACTGTTCTAAAGTTTAGGTCAATAAGATTTTATTAATGTTTTTTTAAATAAGTCTCTTATGCTCACCAAGGCTGCATTTATTTGTTTGAAAATACAGTAAAAACAGTAATATTGTGAAATATTATTACAATTTAAAAGAACTGTTTTCTATCAGAATATATTTTTAAATGTAATCTATTCCTGTGATGTAAAGCTGAATTTTCAGCATCATTACTCCAGTCTTCAGTGTCACATGATCCTTCAGAAAGCATTCTAATATGCTGATTTGCTGCTCAAGAAACAGTTCTGATTATTATCAATGTTGAAAACAGTTGCGCTGGATTCTTTGAAGAATACAAAATTAATTAGAATTGCATTTATTTGAAATAGAAATATTTTGTTACATTGTGTCTTTACTGTCACTTTTTGATCATTTTGATGCATCCTTGTTAAATAAAAGTATTAATTCCTATCATAAAAAATCTTGCTGACCTCAAAATATTGAATGGTGGTGTATTTGCAGAATTTTGTATTTGCAGAATTTTGTATTTGCAGAATTTGGAGGAATTTTATATTTATTATATATAATATATTAATTTACTGAATTGTATGTGGTTCCAAGCCCGTATGAGACGTAGATGTATTATAATAAATAATATTCACACTGCTTTTGTCCATACAACAAAAGATTGGATGAAAAGCACTATAAAAGTCTCATCAAATTAGTCCATATGACTCATGCACAATATTCTGAGTCTGCAGAGGTCATACAATATCTTTGTGTGAGGAACAGTCAAATTTTCAGCAAATAGCAAAGTTATCATTTGGCTTTAAAAGAATTCCATTCTATGACTTAAAGAAAGTCATACGGATTTGGAATGATATGAAGGTGAGTGATAACTGAATTTTCGTGTTGTTTTTTTTTTTACATGCTGATGCTCCTTTAACTGCATGAGCAGTTCTTTGTGAATGGAGACAGGCTGTGGTTTAGGAGATTTCTACATTCTCATTCACATCCACCGAGATCTCAAGAGCAGATTCTCCTATTCTCTATTTTAAGCGTCGAACCTCGTTCCTGCCTCCAGCCCCCACATCCACAAACGCATGTATACACGGATCCTAACGGTTGTAATGTGGAAGGAAGCTTGAGGTTTGCCAACAGTATCTTAAAAGCTCACACATTTTCGGTGTCCAACAGGGTTTGTACTCGTGCACACACACACGCACACACACACACACACACACACACATATTCAGTCAAGATCATGCAATCAGACAGATTTTCTCACTGATAGAGCCATGCTTTCCAAACATGCATGTATCTAAAATTCCCTTTTCCCCCCTGTTTGAGTTTCTAATTGATCGGTTGCTTTCAAATACACAGACTGAAGATTTCATAATGTTTCTTAATTAAATCTCAAATGTTCTTAAAGAAATAGAAAACTTTAAGAAAATGCTTCACATTGGGTTTAGCACTTTCTTATAAGAGTAACACTATGTGTCTTTTAAAACACCTCATTTGACCAAAGCACATCCTTTGCAGAGTGTTTGGGGTCAGAGATTTTTTTTGAAAGAAATTAATACTTGTATTCAACAAGGACACAATAAATTGATAAAAAGTGACAGTAATAATGCTATTCTCTTGAACATTCTATGCATCAAAGAATCACGGTTTACACAAAAATATGAAGATGCACTACCGTTTTCAACATTGATAATAATAAATGTTTCTTGAGCAGCAAATATTAGAATGATTTCTGAAGGACCATGTGACACTGAAGACTGGAGTAATGATGCTGAAAATTCAGCTTTACCATCACTGGAATAAATTACATTTTAAAATATATTCAAATAAACAGTTATTTTAAATTGTAATAATATTTCACAATATTACTGTTTTTATTGTATTTCACAGAAATGCACTCTTTTTGAGAAGAAGAGACATTAAAAATATATATTTTCACATAAGAACAACTTTTCCACGACATTCTAATTTATTGAGATGCACCTGTATATACTGTGAAAAATACAAATATTATAGTATGTGTAAAATATTATCTGGAAAATATTTATGTTTCTATTAGGTTACACTGATTCTTGTTTTCTATACCCACCAGCAAAATAAACTTAGATACATAAACCTGAAAAAAAAAGAAATCTATCTGTCAGCAGAATAAAATAAAATGATTAATCCTCTTGTTTTCAACCAGTCTTCAGAAAGAATGGAAAATTATTAATGTTGAAAATAAAACATAAAACAAATATGAGTCTAAAAATGAAATACATGTCTAAACTGTCATAATATTTACTTACTTTTAGGGATGTAACGATTCACTCAACTCGCCTCCGCGACGCAGAACCATGTCTCTGACCACCACCAAACCCGATATGTTCACCTCCACCCAAACCCTGGCCCCATTCCCGGCCCCCACTCTCTCCCTCACCACCTTCACTCCCGTTCTCACAAGTTCAGCAGAGCCCAGAACTGAGCCGGAGAACGTAACGTCCAGGACCACCTTCCACTCCGTCACGTCGTCCGCCAACGAGACCGGCCTGAACTCCACACAGCTGCCCATCGCTTCAGTGGAGGGCGCCGGGATGGGGATGGTGCTCGTGCCCTTTGGCATCATCACAGTCATTGGGCTGGCTGTTTTCGTGGTACACCCCAAAATGTTGTCATTGTTACTCAACACAAACACGTCAAATAAAATTGATCAAAAGTGCCAGTAAAGACTTTTATAATGTTACAAAAGATTTCGAATAAATGCAATTATTCGGAACTTATTACAGAACCCTAAAAGAAAATCTATCAGTTTCCACAAAATACTAAGCAGCGGAACTGTTTTCAAGATTGATAATAATCAGAAATGTTTTTGAGCAGCAAATCAGCATATTAGAATGATTTCTGAAGGATCATGTGACACTGAAGACTAGAGTAATGATGCTGAAAATTCAGCTTTGATCACAGGAATAAATTACATTTTACAATATATTCACATAGAAAACTTATTTGAAATTATATTATTTCACAATATTACTGTTTTTACTGTATTTTCGATCAAATAAATGCAGCCTTGGTGAGCAGAAGAGACTTCTTTCAAAACATTAATGCAATTTTATTGATCTTTTGAAAAGTTTTCCTAAAAGTTTAATACAAGTAGCTATATTTCATATTACACTTTCTCTTTTCTGACAAAATTGAGTCTTGATGTTGAAATTGACTTAAAGTCACGCATATTTTGAGTTACATTTACATTTTTCTTCTCCTCGCCAGCTTCTGTACATCAGAAAAAAGAAAAGGTAAGAAATGTCACATTCCTGTATCACTCCACTACAGTCTAAAAAATCAAAGGTTCTTCAGTGAATATTTAATGCAAGACCGAAATCCCTTTTTGGGTCTATTTGGAACCCTCTGATGTTTCCCCACATAGAAGAGTGTCCTTAATGAAGCTGTGATGGTTTTCTTCTACAGGCTGGAGAAACTGAGACACCAGCTGATGCCCATGTATAACTTTGATCCAGCTGAAGAACAGGATGATCTAGAGCAGGAACTCTTGGACCACGGACGAGATGGAAGCCCAGCAGGACCAAACTCCAAAGTAAGAGAACACCACCACACGGGTCAAAGGCAAAGACATACAAACAAACAAAAATGTTAGGGCATACATTGCGGATTCTAAACTAAATGTTTTTTTTGTTTTTTTTTAGATAGATAGATTGATAGATTTTGTGGGACCGGAAGGATTTTTCTGTAGAACAGCGAGCAGTTTAACTGTTTTCTAACTGTTGTAACTTTTATGTGAAATATCTTATTCAGGTCAGTATTTTAAAAAATAGCATGCATTTTGTATGATGATCCCTCTTATTTTGGTCAAATAATTAACATTTTGCAGATACTGCAAAGTATATGTAAAACTTTGACCACAACTCTATAATATATAATTCTAATAAAATAAAACTTTTATGGAATTTATTACAAAACTAAGACAGCATGGTGAGTCTCTCAAAATAATTTATGCCATACATTTTGGAATGTTTTTTCTTAATTTCGATTTCTACCATTCTCATTTCTCTTAAGTTCTGACACCAGGCTGTGTGCTTTGTTATTTGTGGTAAAGTATTCATCACTGTAAATGTATCATTACCACACATTCATTTAATATCACTAATACTCATCATCCACATTTAAACTCTCCTCCATTTGTGTTCTGGCACTAGTAGCCTCATTCGTCTCATACGGTCAACATACCAGAATTCATTTTATTTCGCTAATTCATATTTGTGCAATGTTTCATTGTAGAACTAGATTTACATTTGTATTATTTATATTCTATAACCGTCAATATCCTGTATTGTTTACTTACTTTCGCTCTCTCTTTCCCGCCACAGACACTGACCACAAGACAGGGAACAACGCAGAAACCCAGTCGACTTGTTTTCACTGACGTGGCTGATGCCATTAATGCATGACGACACTCATATGCTGCACAGGAAGAAGGGGACACAGAAAACTGGACACTGGGATTCAGGAATATTTGCATTAACTTTTGGTACGATATAGTACACTGTAAAAAACAAAATCAAATGTAAAACATTGGGTTAATTGCTGCTTTTGTAGTTATTCATTTCTTAAGCCAAAGTTACAGCCCGAAGTGTTAAAGGAATATTTCACTCCAAAATGAAAAATAAGCTGAAACTTGACTCACCCTCAGGCCATCCAAGATGTAGAGTTTGTTTTTTCATGGGAACAGATTTGGAGAAATGTAGCATTACATCACTTGCTCACCAATGGACCCTCTGCAGTGAATGGGTGCCGTCAGAATGAGAGTCCAAACAGCTGATAAAAACATCACAATAAACAAATCCATCAAGGCCTTTTAACTTTAAACCGTCACTCTTAGCCAAAATATGAGTCCATAATACTTCATCCAGTGAAAAAGTCCATCTCCTATCCCCACTGACATATTTGTTTACAACTGTTTTGGCTTGTAAATGGTGCTTGATCTATGCATATTTCTCCCCTGATTCAGACGAGATGAGTTTTTCACCGGAGAAAGCAATATTATGGATAGAGGACTCATATTTTAAATTACTTGTTGATTATTGTGATGTTTTTATCAGCTGTTTGGACTCTTATTCTCACGGCACCCATTCACCTCATATTCCTTTAAGATCATTGCATTTTTTTGACCACTTTGAATTTAATTATGACAAAAAACATAAACCCAGAATCTCTGAGCGCAAATGACAGAAATTGTTGCAACAAATAAACAATGATGAGAATATTTTTTACAGTGTACAGTGACAAATAATACATTACACATTTTAAGGACACTACTTCACTACTACAGAAGTCAGCTGGATCTGTCCAACGGTTATAAAAATTATTTTCATCTCTCATGAGCCTCATTCATGCAACATGAGCAGAACAAATGTGCCAAATATTGTGACAATGTACGAAAAAATGATTTTAGAAACGCTGAATGAGGCTCACCCTGTGTTTATGAATGACTGATAAAATAATGTTTATTTTTAAGAAGGGACTCCAAATGCAACTTTAAACCCCTTTTGTTTGTGAGAAATCTTTATTAGTTTGGTGAATGAGAGAACTACGTGATTTATTATTTATACACAGCTGAAGAGGGTTCTGTGAACTGATGTGCTTACTAAAAGGAAGTACATGAACTTACCCTGAGAATAGAATTTTTAGCTTTAAAGTTACATTTGTTTCATTTAAATTGTGATGAAGTGTCAGACATGACATCAGTCAGCCATTTCAGAGACAGTATTATAAAGATCTTCCAAGTGACATGAACTCACTTTTTCCGATCATTGAACATTGAAACACAAAAGTTCTGTCACAGAGCCTGTGAATCTACATAAATGATGATTTTTATTTTCCTGTGTGTGTGTGTGTGTGCGTGCATGTCTGTCTGTGTGGTTGTGTAGATGAAATAGCAAAATGTAATAATTCTCTGTGCACCACAAACCAGCGGCGGATCATTTTAAAGACAGTTGTTACTTTTATGACAATGAAGGACATAATAAAAAGGATATTTACACTATGTGCAGGTGTGTTCTTGAAAACTAGGGAATCGTTTTGGATAAATGCAATAAAGACAATAACTGATGGATCATGTAAACGTGTCTCAAACAGGAACTTTATTCACTGATATACAGCTGCATAAAAAGCATTACTGGCCTTTGAAAGATATAAAAAAAGAGGTATGTTACCTGAGGCACATCGTCAAATGTTTTAATACGTAAACGACTTAGCTGACTATATACCATGATGTGTTTGAACATTGCTCGATTGACTTCACATCAAAAACTTCCTGATCAGAAAAAGGATCTTTTTTGAACAATATTTTGGTACCATTATACCGGTTTTTAAGTGCATCTACTGTATCTGAACTGTAATATTTAACACAACACAACTGTATTGACAATAGGAGAAGCTTTAAACATCAGTCATGTTGTAAACATCATCCGCATACCAGCGCAATGACAATTCATAGCAGTAAAAATTAGACTGGATGATAAAAAAAATATATATATATATATACTAATTATGAAAATATAGTGCCAAAAATGTTATCCTGTTCCAGAGACTGGCCATTGACAATATATGTGACCCTGGACCACAAAAGCAGTCTTAAGTCGCTGGGGTATATTTGTTGCAATAGCCAAAAATACAACCTGGTCTCGTAGCAAAAATACATTGTATGGGTCAAAATTATAGATTTTTATTTTATGCCAAAAATCATTAGGATATTAAGTAAAGATCATGTTCCATGAAGATATTTTGTAAATTTCCTACTGTAAATATATTAAAACTTAATTTTTGATTAGTAGCATGCATTGCTAAGAACTTCATTTGGCCAACTTTAAAGGCGATTTTCTCAATATTTTGATTTTTTTGCACCCTCAGATTCCAGATTCATCAATGGAAAGCTTATTTATTCAGCTTTCAGACGATGTATATGACGATGTATGATTTTGTGGTCCAGGGTCACATATGCATTTAAAAACAAATGACAAATCATCCATTGTCTAGAACGAGCAAACACAATCATTGAGGTACTGAATTTCACCATCATCATGTTGTGAATTATAATGATTGTTGTTTTACATCATTAATAAAGTCATTATTCTCGTTTGGTGTAAACAGACACATTTGAATCTATTCTTTCCATTGTAAACATTAAAATAAAACAAGAAAAAGAACATTATACATTAAAATCAATCATTTAAAAAGTTGCAACATTTGATTGAGGAGTACATTTCAAGCTTTGGCAATATAATGTTTCCAGAATCCTGAGAAGATTAAATAAACCTAATATAACCCAGGCATCATCCATACACGGTGATCCATATTACAGTTTCTAAATGTTATTATCTTTGGATTTTTTAATTTCTTTGTAATCCCAACATCTGGAACATTAAGTCTGGCCGTCAAATTATGCACAATAAAAGTGTTTTAAGTTCAAATTTGATTTCTAGTTGAGTTTAAAAGAATAGTTTACCCAAAAATGAAAATTAGCTGAACATTTACACACCTTCAGGACATCCAAGATGTAGATGAGTTTGTTTCTTCATCAGAACAGATTTGGAGAAATGTAGCATTCCATCACTTGCTCACCAATGGATCCTCTGCAGTGAATGGGTGCCGTCAGAATGAGAGTCCAAACAGCTGATAAAAACATCACAATAATCCACAAGTAATCCACACCACTCCAGTCCATCAATTAACATCTTGTGAAGCCAAAAGCTGCATGTTTGTAAGAAGCAAATCCATAACTGAGGCATTTTAACTTCACCGTTTACAAGCATAAAAAACAGTCCAAAACAGATCTAAACAAATATGTTGTTGTATTTTGATGCGAGAAGACAATAGGAGATGGACTTTTTCACTGGAGGAAGCGTTATTGTGGATTATGGACTCATCCTTTTTGCCAGAAGCGACAGTTTAAAGTTAAAACATCATAATGATGGATTTGTTTCTTACAAACATGCAGCTTTTCACTTCACAAGATGTTACGTGATGGACTGGAGTGGTGTGGATTACTTGTGGATTATTGTGATTTTTGTTATCAGCTGTTTGGACTCTTCTGATGAAGAAACAAACTCATCTACATCTTGGAAGACCTGAGGATGAGTACTTTTTTTTTTGGGTAAACCGTTCCATTAAGAATCCACATAATAAAGAGAAGATATTATTTTCAGTTCTTAAAATGGCAGTGTAACTTGCAGACAGGTGTTCACCATAAAGACTTGTGATGGAAGTATACAGATTTTAGGGTCACTTTTGACAAATGTAGTCTGAACTTGCCCAGGGCACAAAGAGAGTCCTCAATTTTGGGCGCAATTTGAGCACTGGCACATATTCACTCTTTACAGAGTACATGGAGGCATTGAGATTTACCCCTGACGTAGTATCAAAGTCAACACTGAGGTAGTTTTAGTCACTCTCCTGCGATGGTAGCTCAGCGGGCAGAGTCTGAATGGGGGGCTCCTCTGTTGACTCTGTCCCTTGAACCGCAGGATGAGGCTGGGTGGAGAGGAAAGAGAACACATGAGGAATGTGTGTGCATGTAGATGTGCGTGCATGACCTGAGAAACATGACAGTTGGAACAGGAAACCAATAAATGTAAGGAGCTGTGCTGGATTTCCCTTAAACACACTGAGTCATTTATCTCGGTGCTAACCTGAGTACTGTATGAGTAACGGGGAGTTTTGCACGGTTTCTGAACACATCGCCTGTTTCAGATCTGCAACTCTTGACAGTCACTGATTGACATGCTTATCAGGTTTAGTTTTTAACGGAATGAGACAATTCTCATGTAGAACTATTCATTTTGTTCATTATGGGTTGCAGGGTTGCAAACAACTAATCCATATGATCGATAATGAAAATAATCGACTCGACTAATCGGGTTTCATTATTAAGTCGAGTCAGTTTAAATGAGTGAAAAACATTTCGATGAAAACTGTTGCATATTTATAAAGTGAGCACTAATTGTAAGGGCTTAAGTTTTTTTTCTTCGACTTTTATTTAGCAAGGATGCATTAAATTGATCAACAGTGACAGCTAAGACATTTATAATGTTACAAAAGATGTCTACTTCAAATAAATGCTGTTCTTTTGAACTTTCTATTCATCAAAGTCCTGAAATGTTTTAATCACAGTTTCCACAAAAATATGAAGCATCACAACCGGTTTCAACATTGATAATAATAACAGATCAGCATATTAGAATGATTTCTGAAGGACCATGTGGCACTTAAGACTGGAGCAATGATGCTGGAAATTCAGCTTTGCATCGCAGGAATAAATTACATTTTAAAATATATTACAATAGAAAACAGTTGTTTTAATCATAATAATATTTCACAATATTGCTGTTTTTACTGGATTTTGATTAAATAATTACAGCCTTGGTGAGCATTTCTTTTTTTTAAAATCTCACTGACCCAAACATTTGAAATACCAAAGAGAATATATTTATTCATTTAAAAATATTTTAAAAACATATTTTGACACTGGAAATGATAAAAGTGTATACTGGAAATTATATGGATTTATTCAAATGTTATATGTTTTTTTTTACCTGCTGTTCTTCCTGATGAATGGTCTTCTGAGGCTATAAATTAAAGAGACAAAGAATGTGAGAGGAAAAAGAAGACATTTCTACCTTTTAAAATTGCTATGGCTCAGAAACATCTTGCCACTTGTTTTGATTTCCCTCTCTCCAGCTCAACACAAAAACAGCAAAGCAAGAAAAATTAAGACTTCTTTTTGGCATAATATGCACTTAACAATATAGCCAGGTATATCCAATCAAGTACATAGGGTAATGTTTGATTCCATATTTAAAAGGGTTATAAAATAGAAAAAGGGATTTTGTTTACTCTTTTGAAAGAGTAATGAACAATGAAGACATAATGTACTAGGACCAGACAAATTACAAATGCTAAGCTGCAGAAACCACTCATTTATTAAAATTTTCAGGTCATATATGTTTTAATAAATTTAAATGTATTTTTATTGCATGCAATCTCTTTTATATTTGAGTTCATCAGATGCTCATTTAACCATGCGGCAGAGATTAAAGGAAAGTGTGTGTGATTCTTACCCATTTTCTTGGTCTACCTCGAGGTCTCCGTTCTCTAGGTGGCTCTACCTACATCCAACAACAGATGAAGGAATGAGAGAGCATGTTATATATCTGAACAAGAATCATTCAGCTTAAGTTTAAGTGCTCTCCATTAAGTTCTCTTACTTTGGCTGTGACCCGCTGGCCTTTATTTTTACTGCCTCTCGGCCTTCCTCTCGGCCTCCTGGGAGCAGAGGTTTCAACAGGTTCCTGAGGGATTCAGTTCACTTGGTTTTATTTAATTTATATCAGCTTTTCTAAAAAAATCTTATCTATCCATCCATCCATCCATCCATTTATCTATATCTATCTATCCATCCATCCATCTATATCTATCCATCCATCCATCCATATCTATCTATCATCCATCTATCCATCCATTTATATCCATCTATATCCATCCATCCATCCATCTGTCCATCTATCTATATCTATCCATCCATCCATCCATCTGTCCATCTATCTATATCTATCCATCCATCCACCTTATGCATCCATCCATCCACCTATCCATCCATCCATCCATCTATCCATCCATCCATCTATCTATATCTATCTATCTATCATCTATCTATCTATATCTATCTATCTATCCATATCTATCCATCCATCCATCCATCCATCTACATCTATCTCTATATCTATCCATCCATCCATCCATCCATCCATCCATCTATATATCCATCCATCCATCCATCCACCTATCCATCCATCCATCTATCTATCTGTCCATCTATCTATCTATATCTATCTATCTATCTATCTATCTATCCATCCATATCTATCCATCCATCTACATCTATCTATCATCCATCTCCATCAATCCATCTATTCATCCATCTATCTATCTATATCTATCCATCCATCCACCTATCCATCCATCCATCCATCCACCTATCCATCCATCCATCTATCTATCTGTCCATCTATCTATCTATATCTATCTATCATCTATCTATCTATCTATCTATCTATCCATCCATATCTATCCATCCATCTACATCTATCTATCATCCATCTCCATCAATCCATCTATTCATCCATCTATCTATCTATATCTATCCATCCATCCACCTATCCATCCATCTATCTATCTGTCCATCTATCTATCTATCATCTATCTATCTATCCATCCATCCATCTATATCTATCCATCCATCCATCTATCTATATCTATCCATCCATCCATCTATCTATATCTATCCATCCATCCATCTATCTATATCTATCCATCCATCCATCTATCTATATCTATCCATCCATCCATCTATCTATATCTATCCATCCATCCACCTATCCATCCATCCATCCACCTATCCACCTATCCATCCATCTATCTATCTGTCCATCTATCTATCTATCATCTATCTATCTATCCATCCATCCATCTATATCTATCCATCCATCCATCCATCTATATCTATCCATCCATCCATCCATCCATCTATATCTATCTATCATCCATCTCCATCTATCTATCTATATCTATCCATCCATCCATCCATCCATCCATCTATCCATCCATCCACCTATCCATCCATCCATCCACCCATCCATCCATCCATCCATCCATCCACCTATCCATCCATCCATCCATCCATCTATCCATCCATCCATCCACCTATCCATCCATCCATCCATCCATCATTGCGTCTCTCTGACCTGTGGTTGTTTGCGAGGTCGTCCTCTCCCGCGTTTGGGAGCTGGTGCCTCTTCCTCTGGGGCCGCTGCCTCCATCTGACCTGCTCCAGTCTCCTCCACATCCATCCTGATCCTAAACCTCTTCAAACATGCATGGATACACACAATCTCAACGAGATGGATCTGGAAAAGAAAGAGCTTTACATCAGCGTAAAATCCAACAACGTGCTCTTTATTTTGCGATAATGACCAGCTGACTGTACATTATCCTACTTAGAACATGGCTACTGTGACGAGCGTCCCGAAGCTTCATCAGCGTTGCCCTGGAAACAAGAGAGGAGCACCTGGCCATCATCATCACAGGCTGATCGGTCACAGCTGCACCTCATCAGGCGGCGGCTACATAAGCCACGCAAGCCCTGCCATCTAGGAGATTCCTCCATGAGACTGAGCACTAACTCGCCCTCTCATTTTTCCCACAGAAAGCAGCATGTGACCGACCAGCCCCACAGGAGCACTGCACGGACCCTCTGCACTGGGAAGACGGAAGAGAGCACTCACGGCACCGGAGCACCTACCTGGACCTTTCTCACTAGCACCCATCACCCCAATAAATCCACCCTCCGGGGTATTGATTGAGATTACTTGTCATGTGATTTTTCACCCCGTTACACTACTTACCAAATAGATAAGAAATATTGATTTAAAATTATATAATTTTATTATGTGACAGAAAAGAGAGCGAGGAGTGATACGAAAGACATGAAACCAGCACAGCTACTGTATGTAGGTCAATTTCAGTTTAATCTCAATTATGCACATATATTTTACTATATATACTTTTTGCATATGAATGCATCTAAAATGAAAACATGCAACTACTTACTAACTTAAAAACAGTTAAGCTGATTAAAAATCACTGTGGTTTGAGGCGTGAGAGGTTTAACTCAACATAAATCACACCTCAACTTGCATAAAGTCCTCATCAGTCTTATATTTGACCAGAAATCTTTCTCATAATTAACTTCTCATCTTCAACAGTCACTGCTGCTCTGACATCTCATTCCCACAATGACACAGACGTTAGTCATAATTTTAACAGTAGCAACCTGGCGTGTGAGAATATGAAATTGAATTGTCATGAGGCTATAAAACCAAAGAAAACATAAGAGTAATTTCTAGTGTCTAAAAGTGGCACAAGTATTCACTAGTATTCCATGCAGACTCTTCAGACCTAATGCTGCATGTTCATATGATAGGTAATTTAGTGGCCGTGAATGTACATACACATGAATTTCATCAGTGACAGCTTATTTAACCCCTGCTGGCAGAGAAGGATCTTCTAGGAGCCTGTTCAATGGCATCTATTCACATGAAACATAACTTTCCATATTCCTCTCATGCATATATAACTAACCGCTCTACACCATAAACTATGTCTCAGTGGCTCCTAATAAGTAGACCGAATAAGCTTTACATGCGGTACTATTGTACTGTTTGATTAGCATATTCATTTGCAATGGTATTTAAAAGTCAACGTAAGATACTTCATTCCCATTATGGTAGATTACAAAAAACAGGGGTTTTGCACGTATATTTTGTGGGAATAAGGTACTTTTTGTAGCAGGCAGCACCAACAAAATAAGTATGCAAATGTACCATAGTAATGTACCATTCTTGGAAGTACCACAGAGTGTTATGTAAATATCATGAGACAAAAAAAATCTGTACTACAGTATATATCTAAGTACAATGAAGTGAACACAACAAAAATAAAATAATAAAAAATAAAATGAAATAAAATAAAATAAAATCTGGAGGTCTGGAATGGCGGGAAATGGCGCACGAGCTACTCGGTGTGTTTTTTTTGTGATTTTTCTCACTTTTTCCATTTGGTTTCCACAGGAACTTTTTCCATATGGTGGGCAATTAATTACGACAGCCCACATTCTTCACATACTTTCAGACCTACAGAAAAATGTAGCTGGCGGTCGTGAACTACAGTGCGTAACGAGCACGCTTTGTGGTGTCCTGAGGATGTAAACACAGCCCTAGCAACATTTAAACAGGCAGAGGCAAAATTTTATTAAAGACACTACAACAACAACCTCAGTGGCCACAGAAGAGAAAAATGACAAGTAATAAACACAACAAAAGAGCTCAAATCACTAAAAGTAACTACAAGTACGATGGCATTACCATGTTTTTGTGGGAAAGATACCATGGTAGAACAGTTTTGGACATACCACATGGTGATTCTTTAGTATTATTGTAAATACCATGGTATATTTTGGTATACCATGGTATATATATATAAGTATTATAAAATACCTTATTTCTAGCAAAATGTACTGTAGCGGTACCATGGTACGGTGATAGTATCAGTATATACCATAGTACTGAAACATTATGTACCATGGAATTTATATGGTACTACAGGGTACTTTCAAAAATAACAGGGTACTGTCATGATTTTTACATTTGTATTTAATTATTTGTATTTTTTACTATAAAAAAGTACCAAAAAGAATACTTGTCGAACTTTTATTTTTCAAACATGTAACATGCAATATCAAAAACTAACCTGCGATATCCAGATACTGATAACATCAGATTTCTCTTTCAGTACTAATAACAAGACAACTGTAGCATAAACAAAATTGATTTGTAATTAAAAAACAATGTCATAAGTTGTAAATACCTCGGGTAGACCACTTTACCTGGCTTACGTTGTCCTCAGCACTTCGCGATCACCTGGAGCAGCGGCTTCGTGTGTGCTGAGACCGCGAGTATGTAAGTTACATCAACATAACATGATTTGCATCATTGCTCGCCCCGCCTCCTTTTACGCCAGATCCTCACGTCAATCATTCTCTCAGATCTGCCGAACTGAAGAACGCCACGCCTCATTTTGCTCGTCTTCTTGCCTCTGCAGTTCTTCTGTTGCTGTTAGTAATGGCATCTTGACGTCCGTCTCCATCGCTTCCTTTTTAACAACGCTGCAAGCGAGCGCGACGCCGCAACCCAAAGGTATCCGATTGGTCGGTGGATGCTGACGTCAGGTTGCGCGTTCTAATTCTTCGCGTTGCGTTTTCTTGCTGCTTAGGAGGCTATTCTGATTGGTTAACTTGGTGGTTTGTACAGTCTGTGGCGTCGCATAGAAAGTACATAGTACATAGAGTCATGAATGACGCCCATGTACACTTATTTAAAAGGTAGATGCTAAACAACTGACAACACGACGAGTTAGCAATCACATAAACCTGTCATCAGGTTTGTCTCAAGCCTAGGTTTACTAGGTTATTATTATATCTGCTGCCTCAGTGAAACGACCATAAATATTAGTAAAAACGTCAAGGAATGAGTAATCAGGGATTTTTTCGTATCCTTAAGTATTTCAAGAAAACAAAATTAGTCATTGGCAGAAGAATGAGAAACCACTAGAAAAAGTACCATGGTATTACTATGAATTAGCTTCAGTGATGGATGATTTTAATATATCATGGCACTTAAAATCATGTACCATTGTATTTATATGGTATGTCTAAGAATACCATGGTTCATGTCCAAAAAACCATAGTACCATGATACTATCCCCACGATATATATATATATATATATGCAGTAAGCTATGGTACTACCATGCTTTAGATGGTTATATATATATATGGGACATATTAGAAGAATATTGGAGAGTAAAAACAGAATTTTGAATGTTTTATTCATAATAAAATCTACTTCATTCTATATTCCGTTTTAGTGTAAAAGTATGTGCACCTGTATATCTATGTTCCACAAATGAAAGCATACATATGTAAATTAAACCCCAAATTCAGAATGATACAAAAAGCAAACATAATCTTATAAAACACAGTATTTTTACGTATATTACATTCCGTCTACCTAATATATTTATATTTTAGCATATAGAAGATTGAGCAGTATGAAACGTCTGGTAAAAGATGTTGTGTGTTATGATACGAGTTGTTCTGTCATCAGGTCATCTCCATGACCTTCTTGATCCAATCCACATAAAAAGACACACGGATGAAGATGTTTGGTTGGCCGGCGTGTCCACAGCGGCGCATTGGTATGATCACTCCTTCTAGGACCCAACAGTCGCTGTTCTGACAGGCCAGAGGGCCGCCGTAGTCTCTCTGGAAGAGTGAAAAAAAAGAACGTTACAGCGCACCTGCATCGAGCACGTCTTACTCATTTCACAATCCTCACTTACATCTATTGCAAAAGCAGAACTTAAAACTCATGCAGCCGCACAAACGCATTGAAAGGAAATGTTTGAAGCTCTTAATGCCTCATACACATTTTGCAAGCTTTTTGCAAGCTAAGCAATGTCTAGATCAGTGGTTCTCTTGTTTTACTTAAGGAGCCAGATTTTACACACTATTTTACACAAAATTGTTTATCTTAAAAAAACATTAAAAACAAAAAAAAAAATTAAAGATTTAATCTAATTTTCTATCTAAAGATGAATGAAATCAATCCAAAATTGTTTATCATATAAAAATCCTTAAAATAATAAAAAAATAAATAAAAAATAAAAAAATTCTACCAAAAGATGGATGAAACTTATTTCAAAATTATTTATCATACAAAACTTCTTAAAATTAAATGATTAAATAAAATTTTCCATGAAAAGATGGATGAAACCAAACAAAATTATTATACAAAAATCCTTAAAATTAAAAAAATATATATTTTATTTAAAAATGTATTTAACACACAAAGTCTTTAAAATTAAAATATTAAATCAAATTTCCTACCAAAAACTGGATGAAACCAACCAAAATTGTTTAGCATTCAAAAATCCTTCAAATTAAAAGATTAAATCTTAAAGTAAATGAAATTTTAAAGTAGAAAGACTTTTATAGTGTATAAATACAGCATAAAGTATGATTGAACACAAAGCCTTTGACGTCATCAATAAATGGAATGCGTTTTTCCTTCTTTTTAAAAGCTTAATTATTGACTATGACTGATTATAAAGTCACTTGCATTTAATTATTTGAATTTAGCATTGCTTTTTCGTGTCAGAACATACAGAAAAACAGTGGTCAGTACACACATGTAACCAGAATCACCAGTATCACCAGTCACATAAACTCATATTTGTTTTCAAATGATCCATGGTGTTAAAATGTGTAAAAGCGGAGAACAAAACAGTTGACACATCTGTACCTCACAGGCACCAACTCCGGCCACGAAGGGCATGGTGCACATCTCATTCTCACGGACATGGCCCTTGAAATACAGGTTACAGTCTTTATTGCTCAGTACAGGCATCTGAGCCACATTCAGTACAGTCTCATCCCCCTTTCCTGAGAGAGAGAAGCAGAGAGGATCAGTGATGGGAAGCGAAAGAGGACAAAACATCTTTTACATCTAACCAGACACTGCATGACAAATGATGCACAAAATGAATACACCATATCCAGTTATATATGATGTAATTAATGTGTTATATTCTACTTGTACAGACAGAACTGCAGAGAAGTGCAACAAGACGAGGCTGATCAAAAATACAATAATATTGTGAAATATTATTACAATTTAAATGAACTGTTTTCTATTTGAATATATTGTAAAATGTAATTTATTCCTGTGACGCAAAGCTGAATTTTCAGCATCATTACTCCAGTCTTCAGTGTCACATGATCCTTCAGAAATCATTCTAATATGCTGGTTTGCTGCTCTAGAATAATTTCTTCTTCTTATCAGTAGTATATATACAGTAGTTGTGCTGCTGGAAACCATGATACATTTTCTTCAAGATTCTTTCATGAACAGAAAGTTCGAAAGAACAGTATTTATTTGAAATTGAAATCTTTAGCAACAATATAAATGTCTTTACTGTCACTTTTGATCAACTTAATGCATCTTTGCTGAATAAAAGCATTCATATTTTTCAAAAAGAAAATCATTCTGAACCCAAACTTTTAAACAGTAGTGTATAACAGGAGGTATTATAGCTAAAACAGACTAGAGTTTCACCTTTTGTTTCTCCCCAACCAGCGATTTCACAGATGATTCCATCTGGAACGATGTATCGCTCAGGAGGAAGACATATTTGAGACACGCGCTCATTAAACTGGGCAGGACTGCAGGAGAAGAGACAGATATGTTTATTAGAGGGTGAATTTGGAGTCAAGACACTTTAAAGAATGCCTTCCAAAAAAGGTTGTACAGTCTTAAAAATAAAGGTTGTTTATTGACATTGATGGTTGATGAATAATTTTTAACATCCATGGAACATTTCCAAGGTTCTTTATAGTGTAAAATGTTCTTTAGATTTTTTAAATGTTCTTCACATTAAGAAAAAAAATGGTTCATTTAAAGGGGTAGTTCACCCAAAAATGCAAATTACCCCATGATTTACTCACCTTCAAGCCATCCTAGGAGTATATGACTTTCTTCTTTCAGACGAATACAATCAGAGTTATATAAAAAAATGTCCTGGCTCTTTCAAGCTTTATAATGGCAGTGAATGGGTGTTGATATTCAATAGTCCAATAGAAGTCTAATAAAGTGCATCCATCCATCACAAAAAAGTGCTCCACACGGCTGAATAAAGGTCTTCTGAAGCGAAGCGATGTGTTTATGTAATAAAAATATTCATATTTAAAACTTTATAAACCATAATCTCTAGCTTCCGCTAACTGATATACGCACGCTCACAAGAGAGTGGTGTCCAGCGGATGACGTAGGATGCAGGCGTAGCGTAAGCTCCGTTGAGAATATTCTAGTCTCACGAGAACCACGTTTTGTTTACAGCAAAGGAAAACCAGTCTCCTCTTGGCTTATATCGAAATCCTCTGACATTTTTCTTTACAAATCGTCATTTTGTACTTCTAATTAGTGACCGTTGTTTTGTTTCGATCTCTCCCCTGCGGGAGCACTTTTTATGATGGATGGATGCACTTTATTTTGCTTCAAAATATAAACCGCCATTCACTGCCATTATAAAGCTTGAAAGAGCCAGGACATTTTTAATATAACTCCAATTGTATTCATCTGAAAGAAGAAAGTCATACACACCTAGGATGGTTACTCACTTGAGGGTGAGTAAATCTTGGGGTAATTTTCATTTTTGGGTGAACTATCCCTTTAAGAACTGTTGACTAAAAGGTTCTTTGAGGAACCAAAAATAGCTATTCTATGGCACTGAAAACCCCTTTCTTTATTTTTAAGAGTGTAAAACCAAAGCATGTTGTAAACTGCTGTGTTTGTGTTTAGGAGTGGCGTTCCAGCGGATGACGTAGGACGTAGGCTTAGCGTAAGCTCCGGTGAGAAGTGACGAGCGCGGAAGCACCGGTCAGGAATTAGAAGTACAAAACAAGGGATTTGTAAAAAAAAATGTCGGAAGATTTTGATATAAGCCAAGAGGACCGCCATTCACTGCCATTATAAAGCTTGAAAGAGCCAGGACATTTTTAATATAACTCCAATTGTATTCATCTGAAAGAAGAAAGTCATACACACCTAGGATGGTTACTCACTTGAGGGTGAGTAAATCTTGGGGTAATTTTCATTTTTGGGTGAACTATCCCTTTAAGAACTGTTGACTAAAAGGTTCTTTGAGGAACCAAAAATAGCTATTCTATGGCACTGAAAACCCCTTTCTTTATTTTTAAGAGTGTAAAACCAAAGCATGTTGTAAACTGCTGTGTTTGTGTTTAGTATGAAGTACGTTTCTAGCTGAAGCATGACCAGGTGGGATTCAGAAGGACCACAGACGATCTTGGTGAGAGAAATAGTTTGTCTGTCTGGTTCACCTTCCTTTGGATCACGGAACAAGGTGCCCATCATTGTACTATATCCTGTGAGGTCCACATAACTGCATAAAATCACCAACAAGCACGTGCATATTTAATAAAATGCCCCTGCTGTCCAACTCTGAACATTAATTACTGAAGAACACGGAGTTACCAAGATGAGAAGCATTGTTTAGTGCTGATCACCCATTTGGAATTGACCAGAGAACCTCCACAGAAGTGATTTCCTTTCCTGAGAAGACATGTAGTGGCCACAAATATATTTGTCAACAAGAAACACTGTTTGCAAACCAATTTCACTTCCATAAAGTGACATAATTTGGGACAGTTTATAGTAAGACTAACCGGTCTCGAAGGCTGACGGTCCAGGGAGAGTTTCCAGGTGTGCCGCCCACTATTCTTAACCTGCTCTTCACAGTCCGGTCGTCCCGCTTCCCACACTCGTTAAACACAACCTCCGCTTTTTACACACAGTGGAGGGCAAGTTAGAACCACAATCATACACATCAAAGTCTGTACTGGACACTGTATATTGTTTTTGACTTACCTGTTGGCCCAATAATTGGCACTCTCTCTCCAGCTATAACAACATAAAGAAGAACAAAAAAAATAGTTTAATTAATTAATTAATTAATTAACTAACAATATTTATTTTAAATATATTACCATTAATAATTTATAAAAAAATATTGGAAATGATTTAATTAGTATTATTAACTATTTATTATTGCTATAATTATTAATAAACTATTATTGATATACATTCTCATAACGATGAAAAAATAGCTAATTTGGACTTTTCTGCTACATTCAGCATGTTTCACCATATTTAATCTTCTGCTCATTTTCACACAAAAAATGTAAAAAAGTTGCAAAAAAGTGCACAGATTCTGTGAGAGCCTGGTTATTAGAAGATAAAAGAGCAGACATGACTGAATGAGATTGAAAAGAGCGTCTATAGACATTGATGCTTCACCACACTGCTTGATGGCACAGTAGTCAAACTCAGTCTTGGGGTCAGTGGTGTAGCACCAGGGCCCGTGATGGTCACCGTCAGGGTTCCTGCAGTAGTTGTCGGTCAGGTTGGCCTCTGGGTGTGTTTTGGGGTTTATCCTGTAAATAGATGTGCATAAATGACCTCGAATTTATACTTTAGACCAACTTTAAATGGAATTTTATTCTTACTTGGTTTTGTGAGGTGTATTGACACTCCATTTCTGGCAGAGAATACCTTTACGCGTCTTGCGGACAACACCCCGATAGTTTTTGCCGATTTCATTATAGCAATCTAGTTTAAAGAGAAGAAAACCTGGTTATTCACACTGCCATTCAAAAAAATTGGGGTTAGTAAGATTTTTGTTTTTTTTAAGCTTTTGAAGGAAGTCTTCTGCTCACCAAGGCTGCATTGATTTGATCAAAAATACAGTAAAATGGTTAAATATCATTACAACTTAAAATAACATGTTTTCTATTTGAATATATTTTAAAATGTAATTTATTCCTGTGATGCAAAGCTGTATTTTCAGCATCATTACTCCAGTCTTCAGTGTCACATGATCCTTCAGAAATCATTCTAATATGCTGATTTGCTGCTCATGAAACATTTCTCATTATTATCAGTGCTGAAAACAGTTGTGCTGCTTCATATTTTTGTGGAAACAGTGATACATGTTTCTTCAGTATTCCTTGATAAATAGAAAGTTCAAAAGAACAGCATTTATTTCAAATAGAAATGTTCTGTAACATTATAAATGTTATCATTAATAAAAGTATTATTTCCTTTCAAAAATAAATCTTACTGACCCCAAATTTTGAATGGTACTGTATACACAGTATGCATATTAAGTACATATGAAGTGTGCATTGATTTGTCATGAAGATTTTTCTCTTCCCACAAAGACAAAGCACAGCCAAAATGTCTTTAGAAATGAAACTGTAGTTGATGTTTTTAATCACTAGCGGGCGCCAACTGTACCTTCAGCCTCAATGTCATCAGCACAGCGTTTGATCTGCAGACAGAGAGCCGTCCTCATCTCAGAGAGAGACGTGAAACACCAGGGCGCCTCTGAACCGTCCGGGTTACGGCAGTAGTTCTCCTCCAGACCCCTAAAGGTGGAAAGAGGAAAGAAAGAGAAGGATAAAGAGTCACAATCAACCAGTTTATACTGTTTTGATGAAGTTTGTTTCTTCCTCAGAACAGATTTGGAGAAATGTAGCATCACATCACTTGCTCACCAGTGGATGCTCTGCAGTGAATGGGTGCCGTCAGAATGAGAGTCCAAACAGCTGATAAAAACATCACAATAATCCACAAGTAATCCACACCACTCCAGTCCATCAGTTAACGTCTTGTGAAGCGAAAAGCTGCGTGTTTGTAAGAAACAAATCCATCATTATGATGTTTAAACTGTTGCTTCTAGCCAAAATACGACTCCATAATGTGTTTGGACTCTCATTCTGACGGCACCCATTCACTTCAGAGGATCCATGGCCTGAGGGTGAGTATATTTTCAGCTCATTTTCATTTTTGGCAAAGTATTCCTTTAACTCACTTGCACTCATAGGTTTTGGGGAAAAATGGGTGTTCATGTGGTTTCTGGGCGTCCCAGCGCTGACAGGGGATTCCAGAGGTCGTTTCATTGACTTTGCCCCTGTAATCCTCTCCACGACCCCGAAAACAATTAGTGGTGTAGCTGGAGCGAAAACGGCGCTTAGGAGACTCAGCTATAGGATGGAAAGAAAGAAGGCGATTTAAAGAGGAAGAAATTCATGTACTAAAGAGATCTCACTCACTGATGTAGAGTTGTAACTAGTTGGCTGTATATTGGACAGATGCAGTAATTTGTTGTCCAATCGTCTGTCAATGACAGAAAATAACAGATTTCAGCAACTCTACTTTAGTACCGTTTATATTATAAACTCAACTGTGTGAATGTCACACATGTGCTCCTGACGGATCAATCATTGCATATTCATAAAGAATAATACTGTCGTCCGACTTGTGAACCCAATGCAATAAACTGCTATTAATGCTGTGCTCTCAAACAGAACACCATATGCGTGTTTCTGACTTTCGTTTATATAGTTGTCTCTTTGAACAGCACTGATGCGACTGGAAATGACAGGCAGCAATGTCCCCAGGAAGATAAAGATCTGTGTCCTTTCAACAGAATGAATGAATAAGAATCCAAACGATTTGCATGGAGATTGAAATTCATGCACTGCTAACAGAATGCAAATGACTGTTAAAGGTTATTAGTGTCGTGCCAGCATTTTAACGTTGACATTGCATCAAGAATTGACTTGGGACTTCAGAGCTTTTTTTTCTTTTTTCTTTTTCTTCAGTTTAATCTCTGCTATGTATCTCTAACATTTAGATTTTAAAATAATGTTTCAGAAATGCTATAAGAAAAGATAAATAAATAAAAAAACCCACTTGTATTCAAGACACTATGGAAACAAGTATTGATATCTAATGCAGTGTTGCTTCTTAAGCATCTTGTTTCAAGAATTTGGGGATTTTTAATTGGAAAATAAACTAAAACTAAAACCATCAGCGCTTTCCTTGCTTAAAATAAAATGTTAACTCAAATATAATATCAAAATATAATAATTGTATAATTATTTCAGGTAGTTGCCAAGGAAACATTTCTAATTTTAATTTAGTTTGAATTGATGTACTAAACAAAAACAAGTTAATAAAAACTGAAATAAAAATGAATAAAAAACTATAGAGACAAAATGACAAATACATGCAACAAATTACTGAAACTTTAACTAAAATTAAAATGAAACTGGAAAATAAAAAAAATATTGAAAATATTAATAAAAACTACAACAGTATCTTTATACTAAAATAACATGAGTCATAAAATGCATGTTTATTCTATGATAAACATTCAAAAATAGCTGTGTGCTCAAAAAAGATAAATTTTATGCAAGCAACATATGCATTGCTAATATTTTACTATAGTATAGTTGTTTCACCAGTGCCTGATTAGTTTTGGAGTCTTGTAAAAGTATACAATTAATTCATTTATTTATAATTTTTTAACACCTTGTCATAAGTAAGTCTATCTTCATGGAGAGAACAAAGTGAATAACAAAAGTCATACAATTACCAAAAACCTAAAACATTTAAAATAAACAAAAATAAATAAATAAATAAATAAAATACCATGAAATGAAATATGTATCCTTGTTGTAAGGAGCAGAAATACTCACGGCACTTGCGTATATCACAGCTCTCTCTCTCCATCGTCGGGGCAGTGGTGTAGCACCAGGGCACCGGAGACGCATCCGGGTTACGGCAATAATTATCATCTAAACTTTTATCAGGATACCTGGTTTCACAAACATCAGATATGAAGTTATTTTACATTATTATATCACCATCAACTAAAAATCACAGCAATACTAGATGATTAAAATGCATTGCCAAAAAGCTCTGAGAATAGCTCCTGCAGCATTTGAGCGCAGATACAGAAACTTGCTTTGATACTCCAATATCCAGTGCAATTATATTCCCACATTATTAAGTGTGACTTTAGTTCTGTGGTACATGGTTATGTCATATTTACTTCTCTGGCTGATAGATGTGTTGATGCGGATACTGTTGGTCCCATCTCTGACACTCTTTACCGCTCACTGTGTGATCCACCTGACCTCTGTAGTCTTCTCCATTACAGGTGATGCACACCTCTAATGGAGAAACATACACAAACATCTGCTCAGAACATGCTTATGAAAGTAAATCCACAATGCAAACGTGTAACTGGCCCTACCATCTTTGCACTGGGGAATGTCGCAGCTCTCATATCTGCGTTCAGGGTCAGTGGTGTAACACCAGGGTCCAATGGGGTCGCCGTCCGGATTACGGCAATAGTTCAGCTCCAGGCCATTAGTAGCAGACGGAGTCCATCTATTCCAAACAGTGGTGACATCATTCTAATATCGCAGTTGCACATTCAGTCATTAAAAGGATCTTAGAGTAAAATATATATTCACTACTGTTTATTCAGCAAGGATGCATTAAATTGATTATAAGTGACAGTACATTTTCAACTTTCTATTCAAAGAATCCTGAAAAAAATGCATTACGGTTTCTACAAAAATTTGAAGCAGCACTACTGTTTTCAACACTGATAATAACCAGAAATGTTTCTTGAGCAGCAAATCAGCATATCAGAATGATTTCTGAAGGATCATGCGACACTGAAGACTGGAGTAATGATGCTGAAAATTCAGCTTTGCATCACAGGAATAAATTACATTTGAAAATATATTACAATAGAAAAGTTATTTTTTTAATTTGAATAATATTTCTGATCAAATAAAAGCAGCCTGGGTGAGAATATTTTGATTTCCTTCAAAAACATCTTCCCAATTCCAAACTTTTAAATGGCATGTTAAATACAATCACATCATGTTTAACAAAAACTACTAATATATTTGCTTTTTTTAACCACGTACAGTGGATTTGGACAACATAAAAATGACCCTCTTTACTTGATCTTTTTGTGCATGATTTATCAGTGCATGCTATTCCAACGGGAAAAAATGTGTGTTCGCAGATGCAACTTGATTTGATATTTTGTATCAAATGCATTTCCATTCAGACATGTAAAAAAAAAAAAAGGTTGTTTAAAAAAAAAAAAAAAGTATGGTGTCCCATACTCGGAATTTGTGCTCTGCAGTGAGTAGTGAACACACACTGTGAACACACAACCGGAGTCTGGGGAGCAGTTGTGGTACTGAGGGTGGAAGAGAGCGCTGGTCATTCACTCCCCCCACCTAAGACTCGAACCTGCAACCTTTGGGTCACAAGTCTGACTTTCTAACCATTAAGCCATGACTGCCCCAAACAAAAGTGTCCAAATAAGAATTTAGTAGGTACTGCTATGTTACAATTAATAATAATTAAAAAACATATTTCACATACAAATAAAGTTTACATAAAGTTTATGCAACATACTGTATGCTATGTCTAATCTCATACCTGTGATCATGAGGGAATTTGGACCACCACTGTTGACATGTTCGTCCACTCTTAGTCGTCGACACTTTCCCTCGATAGTCTTCTCCTTTACCCACAATGCACTTCCTTACATAGACTGAGTACAGCAGAACATTATGAACATGTGACTACAGAGGCACTTATATCATAAGTGGTGGTTAAGCGATATGGGTTTTTAATGGCTGATGACATAGTACATCTCCTTATAATCTTTCAAACGGTCTAATACTTTTGAGAATCTATTTGTCACCTTTCATCTCATAAAGGTCACAGTTCACGTTTCTCTTGACGTCTGCATTGTCTCTGTCGCCCACCCAGGGCAGATGTTTACACACCAAAGACGGACGAAACTCATAACTGAAAGCTCTGGAAAGTTCAAAAACACATCAAAAATACATATTGCATTCCCTTGTTTAAAAGAAGTGTGCTTAAGTGCATTCAATGTGTACTTGTAGTGTGCTTTAAATCTTAACGGTATATTTTTTACGTATTTAAAAAAAGATGTACTTGCAGATAATATAATATTAATGAAATAAAAGGCCATTTAAGTGTACTTAAAGACAGACCGTTTCATGGCTGTTTTTTAACACACTTAAGTACACTTTTAGAAAGTGCAGTTTGTAACAATGCCAAATTAAAAGTGCTGCATTTTAAATCATTCTGTTTTAATAAACGTTGCCATGCTTTAAGGATGTACACTTATTTTGATGTGTTGACTAACATATTAAGCACAAGTGAAGTATTTGATTATAATTTTAACAGTAGTGTGTTATTTGATATTATATTTAAAGTTAACATTGTACAAAATTGCAAAAGACAATAGAAGTAATTATGAAACTACATATAAAGATATATTAAAGCCCTACTTAAGTGGGTCAAAAAAAGCTAAGTTCAGCTAACTGCATTTAAAATAAATGTATAATTATTAACAGAATAAATAATATATTTTCATTTAAATAACATGAAATGAAGTGCCCGAAAACATCACATTTAGTTTGAACTTAAGTATATTATTTAAAAGTACATATTTTGGTAATAAGTATACTTAATAATATATTTATTTTTCACATTTACAGAGAAAGTAAGGAAATAAATGCTAAACAAATGAAATTATTTGTGGGAAAAGGCAATTTAGATTTTTTTAACTAGACCTTTTTAAAACATTCAACTACATAGTGAGAATGATGTTTTGGGTACAGAGCTGATACATGCAATGCATGCTGGGAAAGGAAAGTAGGGATATGAGACCTGCATTCTGGACTCTCTGTGCAGCGTTTAGCACAATCCTCCAAAGTGATTCCCGGAAGTTCAGTCAGACGGTTGACGTTCCAGGATTTCAGGACCAGCTCTCTCCCCTCGGATCGCTGGAAATCATTCAGTGCGCTGCGAAATGCTGTGAAAACACACATCAGAAAGATGCACTAGTCATTTGACCACTTTGGATTTATTTAGTAATAAAGAAAATCAAGTTGAAACGCCCAAAACCAAAAAGAAATGACAAGACTATTTTTTTGTGACAGAAGTTATTAGATGAAAACAATGTTGTTTAAAATAAAATGAAATCATTGTTACAGTGCATGTTCAAAAACATGCCACAGTCTATAAAACATGTAACCTTTTTTGGCATGTTGTTAGTGAATCAGACAAACTCTTTGTGCCAACTTAAAATGTTGTAATGTTCCTTCTCTCTCTCTGTGTGTGTGTGTCTGTGTGTGTGTGTCAGAGGGGCTTAAACACACATGACCTTTGGATTTGTAAACTACATCTGTTCCACAAAATTCCCAGTGGCATGGCATGATCATGAAGTGATGCCCAAATAACTACACAGTACACAGAAACTGGCACAGAAACCAGTTCACAGCTGTACACACATGCTTATGTTTGAATTCATTAAACATCTATATGAATATGTACCTGTACACATGATGAAAAATGCCATTAATAACATAAAATGCGACTAGAATACTGTGTAAGTCCATTAAGTTACCATGACACTGAATCTTGTTAATTTACCATGGTAATTCCATGTTTTCACATTGAATGTTTGTATATATAATATCAAGAAAGTGCAATAAATCTCTCTATAAGCATTTTTATTTTTTTTTACTGTGAACTTTGTTTAACTCAACCTATTCTGTTCTTTAAAACATACCATTGTTTCGGCCAAAATATAAATTGTAATTCCTTGTAAAGTAATAATGAATTATTATAGGATCTTTAAGATTAGGGAACTTTCACATTCTGTCTGTAAATTAGTTTTATGACAGTGGTGGATAATACTACCCATAGTTTTATTATAGTACTTATGGTGTTTGAGCAGAAACATGGTGAATGGAGTAACTTATGTTCGTTGGCTGTTTGGGGAGTCTAAACAATTAGGCTGTCTAAAAACAATTCACCTTAAAACACAATATTTAATGTATCAAAATACTGATCTTACCATGAATTGTGTCGGGCCAAAGCAGCAGAGCTGTGAGAAAGAAGAGTGGAATCATGGTATAAGAGCTGCTTTACTCCAACAGCAGAGCTCCTCTGAGGACTTTGATTCTTTTTGAATGGTTGAATTGATGAAGGGTGTGTGTGTGTGTGTGTGTGTGTGTTTACTCCTCAGCTGACCTGACAGAACATTTCCCAATAAATCTGGCCAAAGTAAACAACTCTTTACCTCAAACATATGGCAAAAACAATAAAACTGATAATAATAGTAATAACAACAATAATAACAAACGCCTATTATTATTATTATAACTTAAAATTCGTGGTATTAATAAAATTATTTTAATAATTATCCAAATTTGTTAATTAAATAGGCCTACTACTACCACTAGGCTACTACTAATAAATAACTACTTTTTTAATTTTATATCAACCATCTTTTTTCTTAATCATTTTAATGTTATGAATTTCCCCATCATTCACGTCAAAGACAACTGTTTTTGAGTAAGTCATTTAATCATTCACTTGAGTGAGTCATTAAATCATTACCTCAAACATATGGCAAAAACAATAAAACTGATAATAATAGTAATAACAACAATAATAACAAACGCCTATTATTATTATTATAACTTAAAATTCGTGGTATTAATAAAATTATTTTAATAATTATCAAAATTTGTTAATTAAATAGGCCTACTACTACCACTAGGCTACTACTAATAAATAACTACTTTTTAAATTTTATATCAACCATCTTTTTTCTTAATAATTTTAATGTTATGAATTTCCCCATCATTCACGTCAAAGACAACTGTTTTTGAGTAAGTCATTTAATCATTCACTTGAGTGAGTCATTAAATCATTTAACCGATCCCTTACTTTTATTTCGAGTCTTTCACGACCAAAACCGAAAAAGACATTTTCCTTACAAATTCCTACCTTAATTTCGATATTTTTTCCAAGAGCATGGCTTTATCAAAATAAAAAATAAAACAATAGTAGCTTAAATACACGATTACGCAATAAATTATCGACTTCAGTGAACGAAAAATATGACGGCGGTGAACGAGAACGATTCGTTCACTAAGTTACTTAAAAGATTTGTTTACAAACGTAAGAGCGCTGTTTGACACGATGGCCCATTTACACCTGATATTACAGGTTTGTAGCTGATCTGATCACAATTATATAACACTAAACCACACTTTAAACATGTGTAAATTAACCCAAGACGCATTGTGACCGGATCGCTCCATTCAGAAGTGACCAGGAACCGATTCTCACTGAAGGTGTCAAATCAAATCAGCATTCGCATCGACAAGTAGGCCTAGCTAATATGTAAATAGCGTTTTACATTTCAATCTCCATCTCAATACAAATGGAAAACGTGTGAAACGCTAAATATGAGCCATTTACCGTAAATAAAAACCGAACATATTTAAAATAATCCAAAGCAATTAGGCTAATGCATCAAATGTTAGGATCGTTTTAATTCAGTAACAGCATAGTGATTTTAAAAGCTGCGTGGAATTTAGTCATTCAATTATACATTATGAATTAATAATTAGCATAAAATAGGCTACGCTAGGTGATGTCGAGAAATCATGTTCGTTTATGGAGGTTGTATTTTGATAAGTTAGCCGCTAGAGGTCAGTGTGTCTCTCTGGTAAAAACTGACAGAATCTTCCGGGACTCAAACCTTCGCAGCAGTTTACACTGGTAAAAAAATACTTTACTATGTCATACTCAGGTTCATGGGTGAATTATTGAACTTTAACAAACCAAATTGATGAAATACTTTATGTACTGTGACTTATTCCAACTTCTGTTACTTCCTTCAGATCTCCGCAGAAATCAACGCTCAGCGTGTTTTGCTCGTGAACTTTGCTCTCGTGTTTTGTCTCGCCAGAGGTTGGTTTCGCTCTCGTTTGATTCATGTCTTCGGTTGAGATGTCTGAAGGCTCGGTTCGGGTGGAGATCTGCGGAGATCAGCCGCTGTTCTACCGACAGACGCTTCCGTCGAGCGGTGCCGCCAAACTCTGCGTCCTGCTGCTGCACGGGATCCGGTTCTCGTCGGAAAACTGGCTGAAGATCGGGACTCTGGAGACTTTAGCTGCCGCGGGTTACCGAGCTGTGGCCATCGACCTGCCAGGTGTGCTTCAGAAATACTGCGGTGATGATACCATGGTACAGAGATTATATTAGATGGTAATACTATGGTACTTTAAATATACCATAGTACTGGATAATTATCATTACGTACCATGGTATTTACATAGCCTACTTTACATCCATCCATAATATTACCATGGAACATAACAGAATCTTTTGTATGCCAAAAACATACCATGGTACTTTTTTGGTAATTTTAAAAATATGTTATTCGTTTATATTGTTAATGTGATATCAAATTTAGGTAATATTGTTATAATTATATTTAACCTTTATAAATAATTAAGATATCATTTAATAGCCTTTAATATGGACAGCGCTGTAAAGCATAAAATGTATTGTCATGTCAAAACAGTGGTAATTCCATGTTACTTTATTTTTGTTCATTTTTAAATATATTTTTATATTATTATTTTATACTGTTAATATCGTTATATACAAAATGTATTACTTTATTGTAATTATATTTAACTATTAGAAACAATTATAACATTTAAGCATTTAATATAAATATTTTTCATATAAATATAAATGTTTTTTTATAAAAACTGTAATATATATTACTGTTTTTATAAAAAATATTTTATATATATTTTTTAAATATAACGTTTTAA